TAGGAGAACTAACAGCATCTACAGAGTACAGGCCAGAGATACAGCTAAACATCCTAAAATGTACCACATGGCCCTGACACACACACACCACATCTCCACAGGCCCCACATAACAGCACTTGCCAGACTGACACACCCTAGTCCAGAGACACCAAGGCCCGGAGGTGATATGGTCAAGAACTATGTCACTTGTTTTTTGTTTATTTTGTTTTGGTTTTTTGAGACAAGGGCCTGGGGGAGATGGCAGGTGCTCATCAGTGCAATATGCAGCGGTCCTCACGTCCTGAAAGCAGGCCTTTTCCTCCACACTCTCTGGGGAGCAGAGGCCTGGCCTCTGTCCAGTTGCACATCCCACACTCTTGTAGAACTCACTCTGTGGACCACACTGGTTTGGAATTCTTAGAGATCTGCCCGCTTCTGCTGGGGTGGGAACAAGCCTCCCAATGACCCCCAAACCCGTGTCTTAAAAGGAGGCAGCAGATAACAGCACCATGTTTCCCAGACCCAGTACAAAGAGACAGTGAGTACAAAGAGATCACTGGGACGCCTATGAGCAGGTAACTTTAGGAAAACGTTGGAGCTGCTTTCTAGAGTTGAACCAACCATGGCTCACTGCTCATGGAAATGTGTGGAGGCTAAAACCAGAAGGTTTCAGACACTTGGACGATTCTATGGGTGACCACAGCAGAAAGGGATCCCAGGCTACTTAGGGCTCAACCCTAGCCCAGGCCTAAAAGAAAGATGGCACAAAAGCATGCCCTTCCAGAACAGCCCACAATGAACTCTTTGGTAGGCTTGCAAGGGCCACAGCATGACACAGAAGCTCCCCCTGCCTCTCACCATGTGCATCGAAGAGGAAAAGAAGAAGAGGAGGAACATTATGCTCTGCAACCAATACAAGAGAGGGGCTCTTTCCTTGGTGCAAACAAAGGTCCTCACCAGACAGGCAGCTCCATGGAAACGAAGCTATGCTGGAGGAATGCCGACAGCTGAGGGGGCCTCACAGGCCATTGTGGGGCCTTCACCTACCCAGATTGAGCTGGCTCCCTGCTTGGACTGTGTGGTACACATCCTGGCCCACAAGCTAAGGAGAAAAGTGACATCATCTATTTTTTATTATGTATTTTATCTATACTTCTAGATAGTAGCTGAAGGCAGGCCTTGCAACCTAGTGACCTGGACTGGATCCCAGATCTGCTCCTTATAGTGTGCAAGATATTAGGCTCATTGTTTAGTCATCCAGTCCTCCTTCAACCATCTGTGAAAGCTGCAAGGTTACTGTGTGGCTCCGCGATAGCATGGAGGAAGTACCATGTGCTTGAGGGATGAACATTAAACAGCATCTATCCTATAGCCTGCATAGAATCCACACCTCCCTCCTATTCTTAAAGGGATCCATCTTCTTGCTTATTGCTTATTCAGTTAGGATTGCATGCTTCGCTGCTGCACCACTGATTGCTATCTGAAGCTGTGGTCTCCATCCTCTTATCACTCAGGTCTACGTGAAATGAGAAAAGAAGGCCTAGCTCCCATCTGACACCTACAGCAACATGCAGCAGGCAACTGGACAGAGGCCAGGCCGTTGCTCCACAGAGGGGGTTGGAGGGAAGGGCCCACTCTCAAGGCGTGAGGGCTTCTGCCTGCAGCATTGATTAGCATTCTGCCAGCTCCCTAGATGGCCACAGACAAGAGGCCCTCTTGTCAGCAGTACCACCCAAACAAGCCAGAAGAACCGAAAAGCGCTCTTGCTAACCCTGTCTCATTTCAGACTAGAAACAGGGAAAAAACAGAATCTTTGATTTGTCCTTGTTACCAAGGACATCTTGGGCCTTGACCTTGGTAGAGACCATAGGAGTGCTGCAGGCTGCATCCACTGGCCTGGCTTTGGGACACTGGAGAATGGCCACACAGTCACAGCCTCCTTTGAACAGTTCAAGCCCCAATACACAAGTCAGGAAGAGAGGCTCTCAAGCTATGCTGGATGGAATCACTGGCTCTAAAGGAGTTTATACACATGTGTCTGTGTGAGCACCTATTAGACTCTGTGTGTGTACCTAATAATCTCTGTCTGTGCACCTGTTAGACTCTGTCTGTGCACACCTATTAAGACATAGGTGTGCATACCTGTTAGGCTCCTTTCCACCCGAGACCTGTTTTAAAGTAAAAGCTCTACAGGGACAGATTGCCAGCATACCTTTTCTTCTAGGTGCCCTCTGATTGTGGCTTAAATGTATCCACCCCACAAAATTCACAGACAGAAAAAGGAACCCCAAATCCAAATGCGACTGGTATTTGGAGGCGAGGTGTTTGAGAGCCAACCAGCATTAGATAAACTTATCAGGGTGGGGTTCCCAATGTGATCCTGGTGGATTTGTAAGAGAAAGACCTAAATTAGCACACTTGTTCTGGCTGATCACGTGATACCCTCCACCATGTTATCATGCAGCAAAAAGATGCTAGGTCATAAAAATAAATAAATAAATAAAACAACTCCTATGCGTTATAAGTTATCCAGTCTGTGCTGTTCAGGTATAGCAGCAGAAAGCAACCTAAGATATCATCCTTAGTATATTAGAGATAGGAAGAGAGCTAGAGATAAATGCCTGTGAAAGAATGCCAGAAGGAAAAAAAAGGTCAGGGCCAAAAATTCACCAGCAATTTTAGTGCAGAGGAGGCTCTCTTATGTATCTGAAGGTTCCAAAAATGGATAAAGGATCTTTGACATTTTTCATAGTCATCAAATAATTCAGTCCAAATCCAAGCATTAAAAATTCAATTTTCAATTCAGAAAAAAAAAATTTCTGTTGAGTACTTGGATACCAATATCAGAAAAGTCTCTTTAATTACAAACTTCAGCCACTCAATCTACACAGGTAACTGTCATTGATAAAGAGGCAGCCTTAGCATTGGAAAGGAGCTATTGGTTGATGAAACAGAAACCAGAGGCAGGTTTCAAACAAGACTCTGCCACTTAGTTCTTTCTCAAATATCTGGAATCTCAAAGCTGGAAAGCAAAAGTGAACCCTCAGCACACTGGAAGCCAAGACAGGGCCCCTCTGGCTTCTGCTCTCTCGTTCTCAGCTAATTGTCACTGAGCAGGTTGAACAGCTCTACCTGTTTCCTTGGCTCTTGGGCTAGACCAGTGGTTTCCACGTTGCGGTCCCTATTACTCCAAGACCTTGTGATTTCCCCATCTCGAATTTCTCCCAGAAAGGAGAAAGTCTGAAAAACACGGCTAACACAACTCACATACACACACGGTGAAAGCAAATCTTACCAGTGATTCTGCCCACTGTCCCTTTCACAAAGTTGCCAGCGAATCCAGCCACGTGTGCTCCAAGGCTGTAGCCAATCAAGTGAACATTCCCAAGAGAAAACTCTTCCTTCTCCTGCAGAAAGTCACCAAAGAGCATGAGCTCAAGAGTGTAGTCCTGGGCCAGAGGGGTCACAGTCAAAGACAGCCTGCAGCCTTACCAGTGTTGCTGGCATGCACTGTGGACGGGCCACCAGGGACAGAACATTCTAAAGGACTCGGTGTGGCTTGAAACACCAAGGGGACGGGGTGGAAGGCATGACTCCCGGAGGCAGGCCTGAGCTCCGCAAGCTCTTCTACGAGCTTTCCTTTCTTTGGGGGCTCAGACACATCAGTGTAAAGGTCAAAGATTCCATCCCCACTGCAAACCAAAGTGCCAGCCATGACTGCAGCGACCTGTGACCTATGACCATTTGATCTGTCTGTGCTTCGACCTCTACTTCCAAGGCCTTCAGACTCCTCACCTTAAGCTCCCTGGGCTCCCACAGTCAGAACAGTGACCCCATCAGCTGGGACCTTGAGGATGCTAAGGTGGCGCTTTGACCTGTGGCTCAGAAAACACTCTCTAAAGCACCTCAGAGCAAAGAAGTACTGCTTGCTCAAGATTCTTCCAGGACTCATAAGATTCCCGGGTGAAAGGAAAGACAGGCAGGAAATGCTCAACTCCCTAGGGTCACTTTGACAGCTGACCCCTGCCCCTCCTGCCTCTTAGGTCTACTGGTCTCAGGCAAAAGGTTAACTTTATAAAAAGTAAATCAAGACCTCAAGCTCTGTTTTGCACACAACAGTTCAAATAACGCAGTGGCTGATCTAGTTGAAGGGGCCTCCTTGCCATTCTGTAGTGCAGCCACCCTCCAAAGGCGACAGCACCCACCTATGGCGCCTCCAGTTTGAAAGCTGGCCCTGGCTCCTTTACCATTCTCAACCACCCTTAGAGCATCAGCTTCTAAGATCAGGAACTAATCTTGCACGAGACAGATTGTGTTGTTTTGTTTTTTAATAGCAAATAAAGTAACGGAAGAATCCAGAGATTCTTCAAGGGGGGTCTGGAGCAGGCTTTGAGTAGTTCATGCCATGCTTTAATTTAGCAAACTGTAACGCTGGAGATTTTGATCATACTCGAAGTTCACAGTAACAACATGTGCTCTGCATTTCCTAATAAAGTATGGGCTTGGGGCTAGAGAGAGGGCTCAGTGGTTAAGAGAGCTGTCTGCTCTTCCAAAGGACCCCGGGTTCAATACTCAGCACCCACATGACAGCTCACAACTGTCTTTAATGCCAATTCCAAGGTATCTGACACCTTCACACTAATGCACATAAGCTAGAAATTAACTAAATTAAGAAAGAAAGGAAGAAAGAAAGAAAGAAGGAAGGAAGGAAGGAGGGAGGGAGGGAGGGAAGGGAGGGAGGGAGGGAAGGAAGGAAGGAAGGTGAGAAGGAAGGAAGGAGGGAAGGAAGCATGGGCTTAAGCCGCTGCTTGAGAGATGGCTCCCATTCATCTCTGCTTACCTGCAGCCAGTCCAGCATCTCAGCCACTCTCTGCCCCACCACCCTGCTGTTATTGACCGCATCTGTGTACAGCTGGTGAGCCAGGGGCAGCCAATCAACCACCACCACATTAGCGTCTTTCTCTCTTGTCTGCAGGGCGGACACAAGCTTCTGCAGCCAGCTTTCAAACATGCCGCTCATCTGCAAAGAAAAAAGGAAGGTTATTTCTCTTTCCAGTCTCCTTCAGGACTTCAGAAGTCCCATGATCCTCTCCCCCAACTGACTGATTCTTCCCACTGGCTGCCGAGGAAATGAAGACATCCAAAGTCAGCCAAAGGCATAAGGCTTGTTGTTTTCTTTCCTCTGTTGCTCTTCACATGCCCAGTTTCCCATCAAATTTTTCAGAGCTGATGTGCTGTGCTAGTATTGCCATACTCACTATTCTATAGGTATTGGTGGTGATGATGACAAGAGCTTAGTCTGAATCCTTGTCACAGTCAGGCAAGAGGCCTGGTCCATCCTTCAAGGAGCTAGAGAAGGTTGCCTTGGAGAATTAGCTCCTCCCTTAGAGACGCAGGGAGGCACTGTCACTTAGGCAAACCCAAGTTAACAAATGATTCCCTCCCACAACGCATCTCCGCCATCCTCTTGACCCCAGAGTAAGAAAACTCCACCCCTGGAATCCCAAATTAGAACTCAGAACACATTTTCCCACAGAAACATTATGCATGGTGACTAGAAGCAGTAAACCTACCCACACGTACATTATCGAATAAATAGATTTTCGGCGCTGAGCCTGGGAACCCAAACACTGTTTACAACTTGCTTCTATGGGGCACTACCATTTCAAGTTCCAAACACATTACAAAAGAACTTTCCGGAATGCTCCCCACTTGTAAGCTGCAGGCCGATAGTATTTGCATTTTGACAGGAGGGCCTTAGAGAAATTCAAATGTGAGATTTCACTTGTGTCCTAAGGGATGAAGACAGACAGACAGGCCCTCTATCATCCCTTCCTTCACATCAGAAAAGTAGACTCTTACCCTCCATCTCGAAGGCCCGACCTCAACTGTTGATGTCAGCTCTAAAGACCCAGCAAGAATGTAACGGATATGAATTTCTCATCATTAAGAGGAAAAGCGTCCCCTTCCAATTAGTCCAGGCAGAAATGTGCTCACTTAATAGTGCCATTTTCTTACAGACGGTCATTATATGAATGAACAAATCCCTTGCTGGCCAAGAGTTTGTGACGCTGAGTGTTAAAGCCCTTTTTTGTTGAAGTTTGTCATGGGCCTTTCAATGGAAATTGCTCAGCTAGGGCACATAAAGAGCCCCAGTGCCTTTAAACGGGGCCATCTCTATGCAAACAGGAGGGCAGTATGCCAATAGCAGCCAGCCAGCCAGGCCAGCTGGCCCCTCAGCTTCTCTGAGCCAGTTAAGTTGCTTCAGTTCAGGATGGGCCCCCTCCAGGCAGTGGTTGGCCGATGTAATTAAGTATAATTAGAACTCCTTCTGAGCTGGAGGAGCTGGGCTGCTGCCCTAGGGAGAGCCACTTTCTGAAAGCCCACTGCATGCCATCACTAAACGCCACCCTGCTGGGTCCAGATCGCCCCCTCTGCGAAGCGCCCATTACATTCTTCACAGCTGTCCGAAATACAAGCAGCCCACAAGGAGAGGGGGGAGAAGGTTTGGAACCTGGAAGCACCACTGTTCTTCTTAATTGACCAAAACAAAAGGAATCAAATCTTCTATAAAGCTTCAGGGCCCCCTCCTGGGCTCACCGTCCATCCGTGAATGATGAAAAAGGTTTTGGCTGTCATGTTGAAGCCACAGTCCTCCAAGAGCTGGTTGTCACCAAGGAAGAGATTACACCCTTCGTGCTCTGGGTCCTTGGAAGTGTGGATGTTAAAAGCCACAGAGGGTCTGACGGTAGCTGGCGCTCCAGAGGCTTTAGGATGTTCATCTGGAGAGAAAGAACAGGGTAAATCCTTCTGCTGACTGGGGTAGTGAGCTCTCTAGTTCAGTCTTGAGCAAACTGCTTCTCATGTGGGTTTTAGTTTTTATACCTACTGAGTGATTCCTCTTTGCCTTCTAAGGGAATCTGAAGCTATTGGAAATCCGATATCTCGGCTCGCCTAAGTCATTTGAACTATAGCTGACTTTCTTACTTTTCTTTATTCTTCATTACCAAACTGATTTCCCTTCCTTCCTTCCCTTCCTCAAGTTCCTACCTTTGGAGGGTAGATTCTCTTTTCCTGGAATGTTTAAGACCAATTGAGTCAAGAATTTTAAAATTTTCATATTAAAAAAAAAAAAATCTTAAGGGCCAGGCACAATGGTGTAATTCCTATAATACCAGCACTCTGGAAGCAGAAATGGATGATTGGGAATTCTAGGCTAGCATGGACTAGAGAGAGAATTACAGGTAACTTGGAATTCACGTCCCCACACCCTTCCCAGGCCTGGTAGCTCACACCTACATTCTCAGCCCTTGGGAGGCCAAAGCAAGAGGATTACTTAAATTCAAGACCAGCAACATAATGAAATTCAGCCAGCATGGGCTTTATAACAAGACTGAGAGATGGGGAGAGGGTGACAGGGAGGGTGACAATGACATCGAGAGGGAGGAAGAAAGCATTGTGAAACATACCCCATATTACATGACAGCCCCAATAGCCCTGTATCCCCCACGGATCAAATGCACTAATATTTTTCTGCAAAGAAGCAGAGAACAACTCACACTCTAGAGAAAAGAAAAAAGAAAAAGATTACAAACAGCTTCCTATTAGGATTTGCTGCCAGATGAGGTGAGGGCTTGTAAGGTCGGGTTCTTGCCATACAGGTTCCCAGAAATTTTCCAAGTTTTGAGAGATTTGGGATTTTGCAATTGGAGGTAAAAGGGTATTGACCCACTGTACAAATGGCTTTCCCTGGCATTCCCATTTTGATCCAACACTTACTTCAAAGACCTTGCATTCTCAGGGCTCTTTGCAGTGGCAACAGGCACCAGTGACTCAAATAGCTGAAACCATGGGAAAATTCCTCAGAGCAGCACAGCTGCCCCTGCCTGCTCCCTGTTACACACAGTGCTGTCTCTTCCTGCTCCCAGGATGTGGTGCTGATGGCCACCATGACCATGTGACACTGCCATTTAAGAGAGCCACTGAGTGACACCCCCCCCACTGTCACTCATTCAGCCTTCCTAGTAAACCTCACTGGATAATGGATTAGGAAATAGACTGTACTCTCCTCTTACCCAGAAGCCACAGAGAGATACCAAATGAGCATCCTGGGAGCCTAATTTATCCAAGAGTTAATAAACAGAAGGGCAAGCCAGTCCTGGTGGCACAAGAGTGTAAGCCCAGCTACTATGAAGGCTGCAGGCAGGCAGACACCAGACTGGAGACCTGCCTGAGGTACAGACTGAACGGAAGGCAAATCTGAGCAGCTTGGCTAGTCCTGGTTTTAGATTTTGAAATAATAATAAGCAGCAACAGTTGTGAAGGGCCAAGGATGTAGCTCCGGAGTACAGCGTGTTTGATGCACACTTGAGGCCACAGATTTAATCACTGGTACTGAAAAGACGCACAAGGGAGCTGAGGAGTAACCCAATTGGCTGAGTGCTAGCGTAGCATGCACAAAACATAAATGAGGCGTGGTGGCACACGCTTGTTCAAGGTCAGCCTCAGCTGCATAGCAAATTTGAGTCCGGTCAGGGCTACAAGAGACACTATCCCCACCCTACCCTCTACACTCCCCCCAAAAAAGAGGAAGAGGAGCAAAAGGAGAGCCAAGAAACCATAGCTATGGAGGGTGTGGTGGTGAAGGGGCCAAGGAGACAAAAGAGGTCAGGCACATAGGCCAGATTTATAACAGGGATAAAATCCAGAAAACACAGCCAAAGAAACGAGACCAGAGCTGTCATGAAATCAAAGCCCCAACTGGCAGAAATTTGAACTCCAGACATTACCAGTTCGGTTCTTCAACCCGGACAGCCATTCCCACAGAGAGCAGGTAGGGTGGCTTAGGCGAAAAGGGAGCTGTTAGTCTCCTAAGAGAGCTGACTATTCTTCACCCAGATGTCCTTGCTTCATTCTCTCAGCTGCTTGCAGAGGGGTCAAATTCTAGATGAGGTTCTCCCTGACCACACAGCGAAAGGTACCGCCCTCCCACCACAGCACTTCAAACCTCCCGCCTCAGCCTCTCTTCCCTGCCTCACTCTGAGCTCCATGCACGCATTTTAGTAGTTCCCACCGCTGAGACCAGGCTCCACAAGGACAGGGACCGCCATCTATTCTCTTCTTTGGTATCTTCCCCCACCGTCAAGAGTTCCTGGTACTGGAATGCAGTGAGGCTTCTCAAATGAATTACACCATCCCCTAAATACTCAGAACCACAGAACACAGACACTTGAAGGAACTTTACCGTCCTTCAGGAAAGGAACTAGCGATGGCACCTACCCCAAGTCACCGTTCTAGCTAACACTCAAGCTGGGAGAAAGTAGATTTTCCCCCTTCCTTTCAACTTGAGCTCCCACGTGCCCATAAAATAACGTGGACTGGTCGCTCCTGGCGCAATCTCTGCAGACTAGATAAGGAGGTCATAAAAAGGTTTAGGAGCCAACCCCGCTGATGCCACCCCTGGATGGCCCCGCCCTCACCCCTCCAGGACAGGTTGTCTCCTGGGAGAGAGTGCTACAGGAACCAAAGAAGAGGAAGAGCAAGACCAAGACGCTAGAAGGAGAATGGGGGAGGAGGAGGGGGAGTTACAGACCAGGTGCTCCCTGCAAGCAATTACCATCTGAAGCCCGCCACGCCACCACCTTAACTTCCCAAACACCTAAGCGCTGATGGGCAAGGGGGGGGCACCGGAAGTCAGAGCTCTTTCCAAGAATCTTCGGGTCTCACCAACCTCCGAAGACAAGGTTTGAAAGCGCCGCTGAGAGGCAGCTCGGCTAGCCCTACGGCGCTGCTTAATGGAAGCGGGAGGAGGCAAAAGAGAGTCCCCAGCCCACACACTCCGCTCTCCCGCAGCCTCCACCGCGGCTCGCTAGCGGATGCTTCTCATCGGAAGCGCCAGGACAAGTGGCCTCCGACGCCCAGGAGGAGAATACAGACAGCGCAGTGGGAAAGGTTTCGTCGGGACGTGGAAGCACCGAAGACGGGTCGGCGGGATAGTGAGGGCCCAGCGCAGAAAAGGAGTGGGAAGAAGAGTAAGAAAAAGAAATGCACGGTACCTCGCAGCGACCTCTGGGGACCTAAGGTTGTGAGACTTCCCGCCGGGAGGCAACAATAGACGCTCCAGAAGCCGAGCAGAAGAACCGGGTTTCGCATCCTTCCCTGCCACGCCCCCTCCTCTCAAACAGGCTTTGGGGCGGGGGGGTTGGTTGGTTGTTTTTTAAGCCACTGAAGACCTCCCGAGCCTAAAAGTGAGCAGCCTGGTCTCGGCCAGAAGGTGATGGGCTGGACAGCTGGGGGAGAAGGTGGCGCGCGGCGAGGGCCGAAAGGAGCGCGTGGAAGGAAACACACGCTGCCCAGCCCAAGCGGTCCTCGCCGGAGCCGGGGCTCGCCGCTGTCACACCGTGAGCGCCAGGAGAGGTACTTTTAAAAAGTATTCGAGTCATCTGACCCATCGCCAGATGGCTATTTGCATAATTTATTCCCGCCTCGGGACTCTGATTGGTCACACCTTCACTGGCCGCCCAAACCCAGAACTCCCCGAAGTTTGAATGAAGTGCCACACACACCCACCACGTGGACGCCCGCAGGGATGAACTCGGGTCCTCAGCTTCTCTCTTCCCCTCCTATTCCTGGATCCCCAGATCCCGCAGTCGTCCCCCGAATCTTACAAAGGGACACCGAAACGACGCTCCCGCTGGAGAAGCGATTCCCGTGGACAGAAGGCCACCCTCTCCACGGCGGGGAGCCGCCGGCGCTGGGAGGGCTGCGCGCCGGGGCGAGGGCCGGGGTGCGGAAAGCCACCGGGACGTGCGTTCCCTCTTTCCCCTCTCCGGGGGCTTTGGCCCAGGTCAAGCAGCGTGAGGACAGACACCGGAGCTGTGGGCTGGGGCCTGCTTTTTAGGGTTACACAAACCCCACCTCAAAGACCTCCGTTCATGACTAGTTGTGACACACGGGCCAAGCCAGACTTCTTTCTGCAGCGCCATCCCCTCCCCTGTAACGCAAGGGAAAAGCCGTTCCCGTTCCCGGGGCTTAGGGATCAAGGGGGAATGAACGCTCTCGCCTAGAAGCGCCCGTAAGGAGGGTAGGCGCTCTGCTACCGCTGGGAAGTAGGAACGGAGCACCACACAAACCAACCTTGGGGTGCCAGAGAGGGTGGCCCAGCCCCTGCTACGAGCGCAGCTTCCAGCTGAGTGAAGTTAAACAGCCTCCTCTTTTTTTTTTCCATCCTGTTCTCCCTCTTTAAGCTGGCTCTCTCGTGGCTGTGAGCCGCAAGCAAATGACACTGTAATCCGGAGTCCGTGCAGAGGACCCGAGTTCTAGAGTCCGGGGCGGTGGCGGAGCCGCTGGAGATCCTGAGCTCGAGGAACCGCCGCCTGGAACCCGTCCCCTGGAGCCCGCCACCTCGGGGCGGCGTCACCTGCCAGCCTACTTGTGCTGCTCTGCTGGCCACACCCGGCACGGCTCCCCCGAAAGGAGAACCCCGGCAGCAGCCCCACGCCCCTTCTCCCCTAGAGCGAGCGCTCCAGCTGCAGGGGCCGGCGTGAGAAAACCGAGCCCCGGCGAGAAGTTCCTGCCAGGCAGCACGCTTCGTCGCTCGCGTGAGCTGTCTCCAATAATCAGGAAGCAGATCGGCTTTATCTTTAGAGTATAAAACTCAGTGCGGTCGATCCACGGGACGGTGAATGTCATCCCAAGTCCCCTGCCCACTGGCCAGGTGTCACCCGCGCTTAGCGGATAGAAAGCGGCACCGGCCTGCCTGCATCTTTGAAGGAAGTCTCAGTCTGTCTCTACTGCCCTAGGTTGGCCTTGGCCAATTGTCCTCTAGATAGGAGCCTTTGGCAAGCTTTACTAGTTTTACTAGCCGAATTTTTACAGCTGAAATCAGGGGTTACCCTGTGATAAATAAATAACTTTCTGCCTTACTAGCTGAATCTTTATAGCTAAAATCAGGGTCTAGCCTGTGATAAATAGATAGTTGTTTTTTATTTTAAGTCTCCATTAGCTGGGAACAACCAAGGTAAAAGGCAGAAATTCCCGGCAGTTTCGCTACATTTTTTCACTGTCACTGTCCCAATAACTGAACAATATGTAGGGTGTGTCTCGGAGACCTTTGTCACGGGTGAGATTCCTGGGAGGAGTGGGTCTTCCTGCTTATCCTGTCTGGTGAGGGGGAAAAGGCTCAACAAAATCATGGGGGACTGTTTGTTTTTTAACTGAAAGGGTATGAAAAGTTTAAAGTTCCATTGTTAGTTGGTTAGAGCGCCCTCCTGTGTCTCCATATTAAATCACAGTGTGAGAAGTTTCAAAGCGCTAATGAAAGGGTTACAATCTTCGCATCCAGAAGGGGCCCGGTGAAGCAGTGGAATCTCCACTAGGTAAGTGTGGAGAGAAGTTTGGGCTTGCCGCCTTCACGGAGCCCTCCAGGCTGGGCTGCTCTGCTCTGCTCTGTGCCAACTGCTACTCGGTGCCTTTCACATAAATTATCCAGAGCTGTTTATGTTACTTGCAACTAAGAAAATGACTCACCTGGTGTCTGTTGAGAAGCTACTAAGAGAAAACACAGGACTGAGGGACTCAGCCTGGAATGCTCCAGAGGCCGCCCTTGCCTCCCACAGCTAATCTTGACCTGTAGGTATTCCCAGAAACCTAGTTCATAGCTGTATTGGCGAGCTGAGGCATAAACAGAGAGCCATAAACAACCGTTCTTGCAGTTCTGGGCACAAGTCCAGGATCAGTGCAGCAACGTTGTCCAGTTTTAGTGACGGCTCTTTACAGCTTCTAGATGAGCACCCTCTCACCGCGTTCTCACATGGCACAGAATAAGGGAGCAGACTTTGTAGAAACCTGGAATGAAGCTGCACCACTGGCTCGTATAAGGAAAACTTGGGCTGGAGAGATGGCTCATCTAAGAGAACTGGCTGCTCTTCCAGAGAACCCAGGCTCAAGTCCCAGCACCCACATGGTACTCACAACTCTGTCTGTAACTCAGGTTCTAGGGGATCCTATACCCTCACAAAGACACACATACAGGCAAAATACCAATGCACATGAAATAAAAATAAATTAACTGAAAAGAAGACTCACAAATATCCCATCAAATATTGAACACTTGGCATCGTGCTAGATGCTGTAGCAAGCTCAAAAGAGATAAAAATTTACTGCGTGGCTTACTCGAAGTTCAGAGAACACAAAAAGGTGGGCAAATGAGGCTGCTAGGAAAGACTGTGGCTGAAGCTATGACTCACAGACCTTGATAGATGGGCTTAGGCCCCAACTCCTGGCCCTGGGAATCTCCTTACGTTATTTATCACCTGCAGAGCTAGGGCAAGAGAATGGCATCTGAGAAAGAACTAGCTGGACACTCCCCCTCCACAAAGTAAAAGGCCAGAAGCTTCCAACTACTGAAGTTTCCATCAGCAGCGACTTTGTATAGAGGAGGTGAACAGGCTCAAGTTGGTCCAGTGCACAGCTCCAGAGTGTTTACACAGAATAAATGTGGAAAAACTGAGCAAAGAGAGCTGAGTCTGGCTTACACACACACACACACACACACACACACACACACACACACACACAGTGTTTCTCAGGAGCGTCATCCTATGATTTCAGCTTCAAGATCAGGATCCTGATCACACCTCACATCACACCCCTTTTTTCTCTGCTTCTTGCCACTTGGTCTTTTCAGTTCCTCGGATTCTATCCAGGTCAGTGATAGCACTTTGGTCCATAGAACTTATTTCAGTTTGTAACAATGCATTATTCGTTTGGCTATTTGAGTAATGTCGATCCCCCTCCTGGGAGAAGTTCCATGAAAGCAGCAGTTGGTTTTGGTTCTGCTTATTATTTCTATAGACCCCAACACAAAGCCTGACACACAAAAAGAGCTCATTTAATATTCGTTGAATGATTCTGCAAATGAAATATATTGTGAGTCTCCAAGACAGCCTTTCCTAAATTGATTTGAGCAATTTAGGAAATTGCTAAATCCTCAGCCCACGCAGGATTTATTAAGGGGTCAGAATTCTCCAGGGACACAGTTCGGAAAGCATGGAGTCAGGAACTGCAGAGAAATTAAATGAGCCTAAATCCCAATCCCATTTGCTGTATGATCCCAGAGGGCTAAGCTGAGGCAGCTCTAGATGGCTCTTTCTTGTTTGTATCCCCTCTTTTACCCATAATGACCTCTATCCAGTTCCATGAAGTCTTTTATTCAGAAGATACTGACCCCCTTGCATGATGGTGTATGCCTATAATTCCAGTGTTCAAGGGGGCTGAGGCAGTAGAAGCAAGACTTCAGGCCAGCCTGGGCTACATAAATACTTCTAGGCTAGCCTGAGCAATATATGAGATCTGTTTCAAACAAGACATCAAAGGCAGTAAGGTAATTCTTCTTGTAAAGATAAATTAATGAGATTTCATTTGTGCACTTTGTGCATAGTTTTGTTTTCCTTTTGTATTTGTATCCAAAATGCACATAAAACTTGGTTTTAACTAGAGTCTTCAAGACAATAAAAAGCAATCCACACTATCATATTTCTCTGGGGAGAGACATGTCCTGGTTCAGATCAACTCTAAGGATGACATCAGAAATGGCTAAGAAGCTCTACTCACATTTAACCTTCACCCCCCCCAAAAAAAAACCATTAACCCAAGTAGTTATTTAATCTCCTAGATTAATGATCTTCTCTAATGAGTCCTGATGAGCTAGATCATTGGAGACCTTCAGGATCCTGAAGAGGCTGGAGTCTCATGACAAAGACTCTTGCCAGAGCTGTTCCTGTTTGAAGAAGCCCAGCTGAGAGAGGAGACCATAGGAGACAACCTTCCCAGACCCTTCCTCCATACTCTGCTTCCCAGAAGGTGCAGGAGGGCAGAAGGTGGCCAATGCCCAGGGAATGGGGCCAGATGGCAAGTGAAGGAACACACCACCAAGCTAAGTTCATAGTTAATGAGTGTGGGTACTTCTGAAACTGTACGGGAAAAAAACGATTAGGCTGGAAACAAAATGCTCCATTTTCTTAGAATAACTGGCCCCAGCAAGTTCAGAAAAGCTAAAAGAGTAAATCCTGTCTTGGTTAGAGTTACTATCGCTGTGATGAAACACCATGACAAAAAGCAAGCTGGGGAGGAAAGGGTTTATTTGGCTTATACTTCCATATCACTGTTCCATCAGCAGAAATCAGAACAGGAACTCAGGCAGGGCAGGAACCTGGAGGCAGGAGCTGATGCAGAGGCCATGGAGGGGTGCTGCTTACCGGCTTGCTCATCATGGTTTGCTCAGCCTGCTTCCTTATAGAACCCAGGACCACCAGCCCAGGGATGGCACCACCTACAACAGGCTGGGCCCTCCTCCATTAATCACTAATTAAGAAGATTCCCTACAGCCAGATCTTATGGTGGCATTTTCTCGATTGAGGTTCCCTCCTCTCAGATGAATCTAGGTTGTGTCAGGTTGACATAGACAGCACTGACCCATAACAAGAAAAGATGATGAGAGTAGCCAACTATACTACCCATTCACTAACCCCAAAGCATCAAGTATACATGGCTTCTTGGATAAATTCCTTCATACTACCAAACTCTTGGCTAAATTCAGTTTCTCATCCATTCTGGTACTTACACTGACATAGCAGAACAGAGCTAAGGGAAAAAAACAAACAAACAAACATGTCTTTTACTAAATTAAATCCACAACCATCACGTCAACTGGCTTTTTAATTCTGCCTAGTGATGAAACAGTATTTTCCTAGACCATTTACCCCTCTTCACCTTCTTCTAGGTCATTCTTAATCACCTCTCTCTTCAGACTTCCAACACCTTGCCATCCCCATTCTCAGCTGACATCCTCACTTCCACTTTATTGGGAACAAGAAAAGCAGAAGAGAATGTCCACAAGGTTACATTCCAGATCTGTACCTACGTCTTCAGCCTGCTTTCTTGTTACAAAGGAAGAACTGTCTGTACTTCTGTCTGAACAACACACACACAAATGCACCACATTCCATTTCTTCTCACTACACAAGGTCATTACGACAACTGTTTTTCCCTCCCTATTGGTTCATTTCCATCAACCTACAAATTATGTTGACTCTGCTAAATATAATAAAAGATAATGCAGGTTGGTAAAGAGGAGGCTGAGATGAATTACACCATAAAAGACTACGGAGCTGCGGCCACGGTCATGCCCAAAGGGAGAAAGGAAGATGCAAAAAGGAAAAAAAAATGGCTTTAGTAGAAGAGACAGATGTGGAGGATAGCATGGTTGAGAAAGGAAAGAGACCAATCCTTCAGTTCCAAAGAAAGTCTCTTTGGAGTTTCTGACACTTATCCACATCCTGTGACTGAGGCTAAACGCCAGGATTCACTAGATGAAAGTGATTCAAGGTTGTCTTGGGCC